AAGACAGCGCGGTAATGATTGTAGAAAGCCGGATGGACAGGTTATTAGTGGCCACCATCTCAGGCGGTCGCAGGGTAGCTGTTGAACTGGTTAACAATTTGTCGCATTCCTTTGAAGGTAATCCGTCAACATTTAGTTAATTAATTGCCAATACATATGACAGCTGCTATTGACGGCCACACACATCTCACTGGAATTTTTTGGCTGCCTTTGACACTCTACAAGCCCAGGGGCCAGGGTGAATCCAGTAATGGGCCGCAAACGGTATGGATGCTCCTCTCTGCCTCTCGCGCGCTCAGTGCGCAGAGGGGGGGGCATGCGTTGTTAAATGCGAACGCCTGTGTACGAAAATCCACGTGCGAAGATTTGTGGCAAGAAAATTTGCCTGCAAGCTTTGCGCACGAGGAACTGCGATACGAAGATTTGCGTTCCAATAATTGCGGGCAAAGAAATACCCCACAAAAAAGGAATAAGAACTTGTGTCCGGCCACGCAACTGTTTTTTTTTAATTGGCTCTAGGTGCCAAAATCTGACGTCAATCCTTAAAACGCCCCGCAATACTGCTGATACATCGTTTCAGGGTACAGTGGCGCGCCACTTAGCTTTACGCACAGTTTTCCCGACATCATCACTCATTTCAGTTGCACAGGCAGGGGGTATAGGGCACGTACCCCACCCCATCCCCACCCCACCCCTCGATTTGAGCGCCCGAAGGGTCCTCATAAAGTTTAAGGGCGCATCAAGGGGCCCCGGCCCGCAAGGCCGAGCCTTCAAATGCCAGTGAGAGGGCCTCGCCCTTTTCCGCGACTGTTTGCCTCCGGGTCGATGCGGGCCTCTATGGCAGTCAGGCACCACCAGTGCTGGAAGTCGGCTCCATGTCGGTCTGGGCCTGAGAGTCCATCTCCAAAGCCGGGACAAGACCCGGGGCCTGTGACTTATATTGAGGGGGCCCCTGTTTCAAGCAGGGACCAACGGTGTCTAACAGGAGATTCTGTGCTGGCAAAAGGCCCCGAGTCGCCCTGGGGCAGTGTTTGACAGTGCCCGAAGAGAGGCCCGAAGGATTTCTCGTTACCGACGACCAAGAATCCAGTTTGAGGGTCAGAAGAGTAGGTCACATGAGGTCACATGTAGGTCACATGAAAGACCCAACCAAAGAGCCGGGTTCTCGAATGTCAGCCAGATGATCTCTTACACACGACTGGGCACCCCCTGGAACTATGCCGGCCTGTTTTTTAGCAAAAGACCACCAAAACCGAGCAGTTGGCTCTGCGTCCGTCTGGATCTCGGGGGCCCGTTCTCAAGCAGAGGCAAGACCGGAGCCCGCGATTCGCATCGGTCGGAGCCCCTGAAGTAATTGAGAGGGGATCACAGCACTTGACAGGCGACCCTGTATCGGCAACGGGTCCGAGATGACCAGGGGAACATTTTCTGAATGGGGGCAGAGGCGGAACCCCATGCGTCAGAGGGCCCCATCCGTTGGTCGGAGCCCTCTGGCAATGAAGGGGGACATGGAAGCTTACGATGAAAGCCCACAATGATACCATGGAAGGGCTCTGTGCCAGTAAGTGGCCCAGCACTTAAATAGCGCTCTCCATCCTATTTTAGTTTAGGGCCTGTCAAGCTGAACTGGAGTCTCTGTGCCCATTATTGGACCTTCCGTGGTGATAACGGATCTTTTTGCGTCAACGAGGGCACCCGCGTCGACCCGGGGCCAACCGCACGGGGCAGAGGGTCTTTCGCGTCAGGGAAGGGTCCGTGTATGAGGGTGGGCATCCCGCGTTGGGGCGGAATAGCGCTTAAGCTCCCCTTACCGGGAACGACAATGTACCCCCTTTGTGTTACCGAAGGTTCACGTGCCCGTAAAAGGTAAGAAGTCTCAGTAGTATTCAACAGAGTGGATCAGAACGAGGTCAAAAATGATAAAGGAAAACCCATATTTGCCATAAGGACGCCCAATGTTTTGCAGAATTGCCCAGCAGAACAAACTGCATACAAAGTTTTGAGCCCGCGCGCACGCAATCTTAAGAGCAAGAGCACCGTTGGCCGGGGATGCAGTCTCCGTAAGACCGGACGACGTTGGACGCTGCAGATATCACCAGGCGCGCACATCAGGAACGCCAAAACGACCGCGGAGAAATAGCGTTTTCGAAGGCCTATTGAAATCGACTCGTGCCGCTGAAAGTTAGGATTGTGGCATTTAGTTTTGCTTACATAATTTTGCGGTTGTCCTCCGCTTAAAATGGACTGTTCACACTTGCATAGGGTTTTGAACTGCGATAACCACCTTTTAAATAATTCCCTGCAGTTCACAGCTATGCCCTTTGTAAGATTCCATTCTTTCATTTCTGAAATAGTCGCCCGTGATTTTTACAGACTGTTGCGCGCCAGCAAATTTCAAGTCACGCAGTGATGCGCAACGAAACATAGAATAGATCAAACGTAACACGAGAACGCAACGCATAAGTGCTACGTAGAAACAAAACACGAATTCAGCCTTCTCAATACCCATACTATGTTCAAGGTTAAGGCAAAATATGGCAAATGACTTACTCGTTTTTGAAAGAGGTCATCACAAGTTGGCGCATCAACGGACTCCACTTGGTTTTCAACCAGCGTGAAGCATTACATGCAAGTATCGATCAAAAACAGCACTTTTGGATGCGTTACAGGTTCTTTAGGACGGACAGCAGGCTAGTATCAATAACTTAAAGGGAATGCTCCACATTTGAAGCTATTGAAGCAAGCATTAAATATGATGAAATAAGCTCACGTACAACTAATGGTATACTCAGTATGCCCCCCCCCCTTGCTCTTACCTGGACTCTGGCTGCAATCTTTGACCCGTTCTCTCACCAGACAAAGGTGTTTGTACTCGCACTTTCGCTGTGACACCATGGTCACCGAGAATCCGGTCTCCACTCGTGTTGTGCAGCTTTCTCGTATTCGCAGTTCCGCGCGTTTCCATATCATCGATAAAGAGATAAAACCTTGGCCATATTACGAGCAGGCCACTCCTAATCAAATTGTTGCATGCACCCACCATGAAAATCGTGAAGCATGAATTGCAAACTCCCGCGCTTCTCGTCACTGAAAGCTGCATTATTTCGCGACCAGTATTTGCAAAAATCTAAGCATCGAAAGCGTGAGTGGCAATACCACCCGAGTCACTAATGCTGCAGCACTTCGGCTAGCTACCGTTGCAAACTCAGCACGTGGCCTCACTCACCAGAAAACCCCTGCTTTCTTGTCGCCTAACCGCCGTCGCCTATAACATCGCTTATTAGGCCTGGTACGGCTCTCATAGGCCTGCTTGCGCCTTGAAGTGAGGCGCCCCCTCTATGTGAAGTCCAGCCCGACAGCGCAGGGGGGCCGTCAGCCCCAGACACGCTCGCGCCGTTCCGACTCGCCGAGGCGGACCGCTGCGGCTGGCGTTGTTTGCCCGAGGGACACCCGCTCTGCACCGGACTGGACCTGGTATGAGTTGGGCCGTCTAACTGGGCCGCAAGGTCGTCCGTTTCTGTTTGTAAGCAAGATTTATAATGCGCGCCGATGGAGCAGGGGATGTTGGCATAATGAGGACGAGGGAAATTCAGGTCACTATTTCCTGTTGCCAATGATCTGCCAGTTTTGGGGCTGCCGTTCCAGTTTTGTGGAGGTCTTACCGGACCGCATTAGCTTTCAACCGAAATTCCGCTGTTTGCCAAAAGATTGTGAATGGTATTCGAGATTGCGCTAACGAGACTGCATCCTTTGTTTACAAAAGTGAAGGAAATTTCAAGGGGTAGTGCCTAGTTGCCCCATTCATATTGGAGACCGAGTAAAAGCCCAATAAATTTGGAAGTACTTGCAATGACCATTGCTGTGTATGCATTTTGATTCGGAGATCGAGGAAAAAGTTGCCTAAGCTTTTGCCATACTGGCGTTCATTAGCAGGAGGCAGCGTACATGGTGATGATGATTGCGTGTCTGGGTCAAAACTCTTTTTAAGTGGGTCTGCGAAATTTGTGAACTCACGCGGGTCTGGAGACTGTTAAGAGATCGTCCTAACGGCTGTCCCTAATGCCGAGTGTTTCACGACAGATCACGTAGAGAGCTAAGCCTGTTAATCCAAGCCCACGTCGACGGCACGGACCGACTACGTGATCATTTCTGTTCTTGTTTTTTTCGTTGCTTCAGTTGAAATTGGAGACTTTTGCCTGTTCTGCTACTTACGAAGCAGTGCAATGGAGTGCGTGCAGTGACGGACGATGCTAATTGGCGTCAGGCAGCGCCGCCCGTCGCAGTGGCACCGGCAGAGGCTACACCGGCGTTAATCGGCACCGGCAGACGCTAGGCTAACGTCAATCGGTATCGCCCGTTTACAGCGCGCGCCTCATTGCAAATGTACACTTCACACCGGATTTTTTTAAAACTTTATCCACGCATGTTCAGCTGCTACATGACTGTCTTGCAAAAACTCGTTGAAGGACCTTCACTACTTTCGTTGTAGCCTTCACCAGAGCAGCTCTCCCTGGTTTGCTTGTTTTTGTGAGCACTGATCCTGCTCCCCTGTTGAAAGTGTCTCCTCGTTCTCCGAAGCGTGCTCATGTTGCATGCGCTAATCTTTGCCACCACCATAGACATGTCATGTCTAAGACAGACGCTTTGACCATTGGGCTCTCTTCTCAAGAAATTCACTATTAGTTCCCGAAATTGTCGTTTGTTTGGGTTCCTTTTTTGGATGACCTATTTCCATGACCTATTTTTGGATGTAACTCTTACATTCACATATGTTACAAGCATGCAGTGGATAATGCAGTAGTTTTAAGAGTGCATGAGCTTTTGCCGATTCTCGTATTATGATGAAGATATAAAGTGAAGTGAAAGTGATCCAGCAAAATGATCGATATGAAACATGCCGCGTCTAACCAAGCAGCGTTGCCACTGGTACCACTGTCTATTATCCTCAATTAACGACACTGCCGTTCATTTCCCCTTGCTGGATGATGTCATTGACCATTGGGCCATCGCCCACATTGATGAGTGTGTCGATTAAAAAGGTCAAGTTGGTGACATCAAATATGCCATGGTTGCACTTCACATCCCATTCGCTTGAATGAAAAATGCAAACCTTCACTCCGCTAGGAAATGTGACATCTTACACTCAGCACTCACTAGCAACTATTCGGGGCGACATCACAAAGCCTTCAATGCCGATATCATCATTTTGGTAATAATGAGGCGAGGAACCTTATCGAGTTTCACCTTAGTATCATAAAACCATTGGGCCCTCAAGAAAGCTGCGCAAGATTATTGTTGGCGACATTTGTGTAAAAGCCAACAAAGCACAATATGTAGCCATTATAAAACAACGTAGATTGCGTCCAAACAGCAGTTGTGCGAATGCGTTTGACTAAATAGGTGTGAAAGATTGGCTGGGAAGCATCTTTACGCCGGGCATCTCATTTTGATGCCACCAGGACCAGTTCTTAATATTTTAAAGTAAAAGTAAAACTGACGTCCTAGCCTCCAAAATGAACTGGAGCCTATGACCACAAGGTCTATGCTTGGGGGCGGGGGACCACCGCCAATGGAGTATAATTCCAAGAGTCCCCGCCCTGTATGCACCGCTGTTGGGTTGTAATTCGACTTGTATTAGCAGTCATTCACTGTCATTAACCGTCAGCCACACAAGTTCATGACGAGATCAGCAAGACACCGACGGGAGGGGGTGGGGACAACCCATATCGATAAGTCAAATCAGGTAATTCTTGGGTAAAACTTACAATACACGTGAAGATAAAAACACCCTGATCTCCAGTCTACCGGAGCTTCAGAGGAATGTCTCGGTTCGCTTTAAGGCAAAGAGAAGTAAGTATATTACTGCATTTGTTGTTTCTTTAATATTGTCTGTCGAAGTTCACTTAGAGCAGTGCCTGTGAATTGAAGGCCAGTAAATGAGTGGTGATGGCCAAATGGTTGTCCCTGATTTACCCCTTAATACCATATTGCACATATTTGCACAGCTGTGACACATCCGAACTAATGTGTAGCCTTTAACGGATAGGATGGCACGCAGTAAAACGCCCCACTCCATGGTGATGCAGAACGCCCCGCGGGGCCCTTTTACCTCATTATTGGGGTAAAATAATTCCCCTCTCCCCAGTCAGGGGAGAGTGGGATGAGCGCCCTGTGTTTTCCAACATATTTCCGGTTGCATACGCGCAAGCGTCTTGAAGTAAGCGTGACAAATCTTCTTGTTCTTTCCCCACATCGCTGCACACAGTCGCAACTGCCGGAATGGGCGTTCAAGGTCTCACGGTGTAGCCAGACTAATCGGATTGATATACTGAGTGGTGGGAAATACATGTGACGCATATGTCGCAAAAATTGTGTCTGGTAGGCAATAATTTCAGAGTGGCACGAGCTTTCTTCCAAGATATCTGACGGTGCATATTGTATCGTTAGATAGCCCTGATATTGCATCGGCTCCGCATGGGCTTGCTGTATCCGTGAAGCGCGATGCGACATAACGGCATATTGTATCGCTAGATAGCCTTGATATTGTATCGGCGCCGTATGGGCTTGCTGTATCCGTAAAGCGCGATGCGACATAACGAGAATGATGTGTCTTTTGGTCTGCTGTTGATTGACTGAAGAGACTGTCATGGTTGGATGTCATCCGGAGAACAAATCTACATTTTCTATACTTTCCATGCCTATACAGTCCACATAAGTTACCAAAAACTATGTCAGTAATAAAAACACTTTCTGATTGAAAAGGGCGAGCATTGGTCATGTAGCAATCGCGTGAAATAACGTACCAGGAGGGACAAACGTGTTATTTTCTTGCAGTGTATCCAACTCCAACCAAAAATAAAACGATACACTTTCCCTTATCATGCGGACCACAGGGTGGGGAAGGTTACACCATCTGAAATGGGTTCGCTCAGTTCACTCCAGGTGAAGATCTACTACAGGTGTGGTTCAGGATTGAAGCTGCTTGGCAATATGATGTGAAGATCCACTGCAGGTGTGGTTCAGGATTGAAGCTGCTTGGCAATATGATGTGAAGATCTACTACAGGTGTGGTTCAGGACTGAAGCTGCTTGGCAATATGATGTGAATATCCACTGCAGGCGTGGTTCAGGATTGAAGCTGCTTGACAATATGATAATCGAGTCATGTGGTCAGTAGTTATGGCATGAGGGAGCTCACAGAAAAGACTGATATCAGTCTCCCTGCTTTGCCCTATATTTGTTTACTAAGTTGTGCAAATGTTGGCTGAAAATTATGAGTCTGTGAAGAAAATAGGTAAAATATCTTAAACTAACGAATTACTTATCCTTGGAACCTTGAAAATGACCGCTCTTTGCGGTTCTTTGATTCTATCCCAAACACAGCACCATTTTGGAATACGTACATTTCCGCACTTCAGTAAACGGGTGCATTTGTGACTCAAAAGGACGCTTTCTTCCTAACACGATACTTAATGGAAATAGGACTGAACAAATCAACCGTTCAATAGCTGCAGGGATATTGTAACGAAAAATTGACTACGAAAATAAGATATAGATGCATTTCTGACTCATAAACAGAAGACACAGTTAGTTACGACGCGATGCACAGTACTTTTAATTGTAAAACTACACTAAAACGCTGCCATCAGCCCAGGGCGGGCCCCTCGCGACACTGACTGGTACTTCAAAAAGGTCAGACCACTGACAGCGCGACGGTTGCACCGACGACAGGGGCACGACTTTTTATAAGTGGTGCCTACTAAGCATTGCGACGCAGTGCAGAGCAAAATTGGAAGGGCCACAGTCACGATCAGAGGGGCTTCGTCGCGCAACTGCGGCGCAGTGTAGTGGTAAAAACGCCCTGATTTGGGGACATCAATCAAGTGTTGAGGCTGCTCGAACACCCCAGCCTAAGCCACAAGTTTCAGCCATCCACTGGGGTAGGAACGCCACAGGAGGTCTCTTGTCCCACCGCCCGAGACGCCTGGTCAATGCCGCATAGGTGAGCAATACACCTCTCTGCGCATGTTAAGCAAACATTCGATCGCACTGGTGTTCCTCGAAATAATCGGCCTTTTACTCATTGCCTCGGACGGAAAATGCGTATAGTGTACGTCGACATAAAAACAAACGCATTCCCATTGACAGCAACAAACCTTTTGCACGTCAGATGTTAGATGGGCCGTCTTCTCTCACCGAAAATTCGTTACGATAGGGAATAATTCCTGCACTATATTTCATGTCGTGAATTACTTATACCACAATGGGAAATCATTTAAAGGACATTGCTATCGCACAATGAATTTCTTTAGAAGAGGCTGAAAACGATCCTAAAAAATTGCCAACCACATGAGCAAAACGATCAGCGATTATATTTATTTTGATGAAAACAACTCCGGTTGTGGAAGCCTTACGGACATCGCTCGCCAACAATTTGCGTTCACTTTATGTTCTTTTTCAACAATCATTTCGACAGAAAATCATTCAATCAGCTTCCATGAACACCCTAGTAAGGCTGATCGTGATCGTGCGACTGCACGCTGCTTCAACACGGGCGCCACGTCTCCAGACCTCCAGCTTCTAACGGTTCGCATGCTCTAAACGTGTACCGTCCTTACTATTACCGTTGTTTATTCTTGCGGCCTTGCCACCAAGCGATATCACAGTCTGTGATATGTGCTACGAGCGCGGGAAAGGGGCCGCTGTGTGTACCCCTCCTGCTCCCGATTTTCGAGGATGGTAAACATTGACGTCATGGCGTTACATGCATAGAACCAGCTTCAAAATTGGCATTGCTACCCCCACTATTATTTTTAAGCGTTCATTCGTGTATGGTCCGTATCGACTCACCAGTGTCGGGTTTATCAATGGAAATTACCTTCGGTTGATCAAAAGCACCTGTTTCTACAAGGGTGTCGACCAGATGTCAACGGGCTAGCGATGGAACCCGCCCGAAATCCAATGTGGGGTGATGTGAGAGCTGAGCGCGCCCCACCCCCGCCACCCAGCCCGTTCGGCACCGTGCGCGCCGTCACACGCCGGCGCCGCGCGGCGGCGACAGAAACGGCGCGAGGGGAGTGCCCGCGGCGGCGGAGCCGGCTCCGGCTGACGTCAGGCCGGACGCCGGGCGGCCCGGCGGCCGCCGGTGCGCGCCACCTCATAGGAGGCCGAGCAAACCGGCGCGTGGGGTTGTGCGTGTCCGGAACTGGGACAGGAAGGACGTCCACGCTCCGCCCGGTGAGTGGCAGGCGGGCGGCGAGGGACGCGGGAGTGCGGTGCTCAGGCGGGCGGCGTGGGTTTCCGGGATGTGGCGCGCGAGCCGGTGGCGAGGGATGCGGGGGTGTGGCACTCAGGCGGGCGGCGAGGGATCCTTGGTGCGATGCTTAGGCAGGCGGCAAGATACTCGGGGGTGCGGTTCTCAGGCGGGCGGCAAGATACTCCGGGGTGCGGTTCTCAGGTGGGCGGCAAGATACTCCGGGGTGCGGTTCTCAGGCGGGGGGCAAGATACTCGGGGGTGCGGTGCTCAGGCGGGCGGCGAAGGTTTCCGGGGTGCGGTGCTCAGGCGGACGGCGAAGGTTTCCGGGGTGCGGTGCTCAAGCGGACCGGCGCCCCGGCCATAAAGGTGAACGTGGCCTCGTGGTGCCAGCACACTGCGGGGTCAGGTGTGTTGGTCTTGTTGGTAGGTGCGTCTCTCTCACCTGCAGCACTTCTGAGTGTTGCGGGCGTCTTTTCGTGTGTGGTGAATTATGCCGCAATATGCACAGTCCGATGGTGAATGGGTGGTAGTACGCCATGCAAACCACAGGCGTGGTCACGCATATCCGAGTTCTGGAACTGAGGATTCGTAGCGGCGTGGCATACGTCAAGTCGATAACTTGAAATACATTTTCAAACGTTCTCGCGAGAGATGATATTCAGAAATGTAATCGTCGCACGCATTTTGTCTGGTCCACCTGTTTGTTTTCAGCGTAACATTTTGCAGTACTTTCTTTTGTGCAAGTATTTTGTGCTGCATTTTTGTGCTGGGACATATTTTTCCATCTTCTGAAGATTTTAGTTTATTTTAAGATTTGGGCCTAATCCCCCCTCCGAACATACTATTTCCGTGCGTCAAAAGTTGCATTAGCTGTGTAAAGTTGCTTTCTGCCGTGGCCGGGCGTGGACAAGGATACAGTAAATTTGAATGCTTGCTTTTATCAATTTCAGCGAGTCTTCAGTTTCATAACTGTCAATACATACATGTGTTCAAAGCAGGGCTTGAAACATTCACTATAACATAAGGCATTTCATTCATAACCTGTCATCCAAATACTCACGAAATCCGCGCACATTTTAACCATTACAGTTTTTGCGCTGAAAAGTTTCAAGACCTATTTTTTTTTTAGTACTTGTTTTTGATATCTGCATGCACTGCCCTGAGGCCACCAATTTTGTGGCTCGCCTCGCGCCGCCCCTGATCCCGCCGGAAGTGAAGACGTTCCACGAGCCCATTATGCACGTCACCTGACAGGGGGCTTCACACGGCGCTGGCGTTTCTACTGGAGTCGTTAGGGTCGGGATGCCAATATGTTCTGGGCAGACTGGATTATTTCTGTGTTTTGACCGTGTTAAATGACACGAAACACAGATTGGTTCCTGTAATATCTGAGGTGTGGCTACTTTCATGGCTGGAAACCAGCACTGCTCTGCCGATCGGAGAACACCAGACTCTCTTTGATGCTGCAGTGGTCATGCCTGAACAACCAGGGTTGCCCCTTAGCCAGCATCTCATCCCCGAATGCGCTGCTGCGCTTGCCAATTGATGAGCTGAGGGCAGATGGCCGAGACCCGTGGCTGGCTATAGGACGGTCGTTAGTCACGGGGACGGGCGTGCTCACTTGCTGGCTGATGGCACGCACCCTACCCGCGTCTGGAAATCCACCAGCGGTCCAGGGGTCGGAGGAGAGGTGACAACGGGGCCACGCGTTTTGCCAATCCATACAATGGAAATCAAAACCTTTCCCTATGAGGCTTTTGCTTTTGGACCACCAACGAGATATTCGGACCCTGCCTCCTCTCGGGTCCCATGCTGAGCCCGTCCCGGTCGGAAATACCTCACTCTCCCTACTGCCCTGCGCTGCACGGAAATCCATCGCCGTCGGGGAATCCCGCCGACCGAAAACCTCCGGCCTGGGCGCGCCCGAGAGCACCCACCCGCGCCTCAGGCTCTGCGGACCCGCAACCCCGGTCGCGGGCGCGCGCCGGTCACGGCCGCCAGCGCGCGCTCGCCGGCCGTTACCGGCGGCGCGGCGGCTGGCAACCGCTCGCACGCTGCATACGGTCGCCTCTCAAGGTCGCTGGCTCGGTGCTATCTGGTGCCGCGCGCCGGTCCGGACCACGTGCGCGATCGCGCGCGTGCGCTACCGCCGTATGCCACTCCCGCACGCTGCTGCCGGGTGGCGCACCTGAGAACACAGGAGGGATCGGCGTCGAGGGGGTGGAGGAGGCGGCGGCAGTTGTCTGGGCGTTGCTGCCTCAGAATGCGCCGCACTGACTATCGTCTGTTCGCCGCATCTTGCGTGCTCCAGCACACTCGGTCAAAGCTGAAAAGCCTTTTGCTACCGTGGATGGTACCCGCCGCCACAGCTGTGGACTCGAACAGTTGCGTTGCTCATTAGTTTTTTAGAAAAAAATGGGTAAGACGGTGCTCGGACGGTGAAAGACGGCGGTGAAATTGTGATCACGAACGGTGCCATTTACGCCGTTGCTACAGGTGGGTGTGATATGCGGACGTAGGCGTTAGTGACACTGCGGGAAGCTGGGTCTCAGAAAATTTACCTTTTAAGTTGCACTAATGGCTCATTTTTATCATAAGAGACTGACTTGAAAAACTGCAATGGATCATATCTGCGTCATGTCATGAAAGACTGGATTTGGGAAGATTGGTTGAAAAACTACAATGGATCCTGGATTGTAGCGCACGCGCAGGCCGCACGTAAAGAGAGCATCCTAGCTTTTTGCACTTTTCACGCATCGTTAGATCACATGGGGTCGATTGCATCGGTAATGCCAGTTTTCTCGAAGTCCGTTTCGAAGATCAGCAGTTTTATTCGATGTAGTCCTTTCAACGGAAGACAGCTCACTGGACTCCCCCGTCACGACTATGAAATTAAGAATTCCTGTTTGTTTCGTTTTTGCAACGTGTGTGTTAAAGGGAATGTTTGACGTTTGGAAATATTAAAGAAAGCATTGGATATCATGACATAAGCATACTTATAACTATTGGTATACTTTCAGGTAGAAAAGTCTACTTAAGACTACGTAATCTCTCTGTTTAGCGAATATTGTGTTCGATTCGTCACTACCTTGCACAACATTGACTGAGCGCCAGTTGACGACCGTTATATCTGGAAGTCGTGCTCACGAATGCCAGATATGAACGACTCGACCATTACATTTGTCTCGGCCGGGATCGCCGCATGGGTTATGGAATGGCAGGACCTGAATGACGTTTTATGACGTCATAAATGCCGAGGTGGCCTTGAAATCGTCTCCCCGAAAAAGTCCGCACATCTTTGCAGGTGTGTAACTCAGGATCTACAGGGGTTAGGTCTTAAGAAGGGCAAGACTGTGAACTGTGCCGCATGATCTTAGATATGGCTATTTCAGTTCAAAAGCCTCTGGAAATGTGGAACGCTCCCATTAAGTGAAATCCTTGTGTAATAAGCGGCATGAAAGCTTGAAATTTTTCACTTAAGAAAAAAGATGTGCAAATTTGGGGCCATCCTAACGCGAATTCAGCGAAGCGGTACACGATGGCTTTTATTTCTCACCTATGGCGTATAGCGTAGTGATTCTGTTCGGACGATACTTTGACTTTTGGAGGCATTGTTTACTTTGATGGTTGCTTGGTTCCAAGGTTGAGTTTATAAGGCAGGTATACACCAGCGACATATCAGCTGTTTTCGTGACGCACATGTTTCACCAGTGCACTACTCGTGGCACATCAAATGCTTACATCGC